TAATTAATTCCTATTAGGGTGATAATTGTGTAAAATGGTTGGTTTTATATTAACCTCCTTTGACTAGCTTTGATCGCCCATTAAACGACCGTTGACCTTTTCTGAGTATACCTATCCTGATATTTTTTGACGTCCCGAATCTGTTTTTGGGGTCTGTTCCACCAAATTTGAACCCGAAAGTAGGGGGTGAGCAACGAAACCGAGAAAATCGAAAAACCGACACGAACCGAGTAAAACGGTTCGGTTCGGTTCGGTTTGGCTTTAAACGGTTCGGTTTTCGGTTCGATTTAAAGGCTTCATTTTTTTGATTCGGTTCGGTTCGGGTTTTCCATATGGAACCCATTTGTTCCATATTGAACCGAATAGGCAATTTTTGTAAAAAAAAATTATAGTTTCAAGTGATTTTTTCATTAAAAAACCGAAAAACCGAACCGAACCGAAAAACCCGAACCGTTAAAAAACCCGAACCGAAAAAACCAGTTTCGGTTTTTTCGGTTTTTTAACTATTCGGTTTCGGTTTCGGTTTAAATATTAAAAACCCACTTATTTCGGTTCGGTTCAATTTTTGGTAAAAAACCGAACCGAACCGAACCGAATACACCCCTACCCGAAAGTCTCCAAATCGTCAGTCAAACCCATTGATTTTGACCAAGAATTTATATTTTTGGAAGGTCATATTTTATGTTTTTCGACGTCCTGAATCTGATTCCGAAGTCTGTTTTGCCAAATTCTGACCCGAAATTCCCGAATCGAGCTTGTGAACCCAAAAGCGCTTAGTATTTTAGTATTTTGATTATTTATTTGAGATTTGGTTAAGGAATTTTTTCAGTAAAATATTTTATGAAGGTACTCGTGTTTCACCTGAGAGAGGATCATTTAGGTCCGGTGTTGTCCGTTCGTCAGATCATCCCGAACTGCGTACTACGAGAACTACCCGTAGGTTTCCATAAATTATTTTAATAAAGATTAAGATTATTTATATTAGGATTCCAATATAGATTTTTCCAATTCGTAGGATATAGCGCTGCAGCAGAGCGTGATCGACAGACCCAGTAGTAGGCTTCCCTATCTGATTTCTCAGACTGTTACAGGTGTGTTTCCTGACAGTGTTACATTACTGTTTTAAAATATTCATCTGAATACTGAGTATTTGATATCTGATTTACCACATATTTTGATATAATTTATGGATTAAGGTATTTTATACCGATTTGTGAAATCTGATTATTTGACATATGAATTACCATATATTACTGATTTGAATTCTGATTCTCGTATATCTGCATATGATTTCCAAGCATGAAACATTTTTATGTTTTAAGTTGTCATAACCGTTTTTCAGCGGGAACAATCGTTTAATTGTTTTAAAAAAACTTACGACTTTTAATATTTGAAAATTCAGTGATTTTGGATTAATTTGGATTAAATTGAAAAGAGTCGACATCGACCTTTGGGTTAGGTAGGTCGAATACCTAAAACTGTTTTTTAAAAACAATTTTAAGAAAAAAATCATTTTTAAGACAAAAGATGGTCTGCGTTTACCAAAGATTCGATTAAAACGGGTTCGGGAGTCGATTACACGTGGGGAAGGATTAGCACCCCCACAGCGACCAAAACTGGTACTGTATCGCTTACATATCATCGTAAATGGTAGAAATCATGAATTGATATATATATATAGTTAATATATGATCCATTTATTGAGTATTAATTAATTTACTTCAAATTAATTAACTAATTAGAGAAAATTCTTTAATTTGAAAAGAAATCTCGACATTAGCAATCTTTTTTCGGAAAGGCTATTTCATCTATTTCTTATTCATAAAGAAAATTTCATCCTCATTGATTTAAAAAAAATGCAGATACAATATAAATTATCGACAATTTGCAAACAACAAAATAAATTACTACATACAAATGCCTTGAATCACAAAAGATTTAATTAGTAAAATAAACTAGATCTATTTTAAATCTTATTTCGTTCGAACATCGTATCGAATTATACCACTTTAATCAAATGATACTTTCCACGTCCGTACTATAAATCAGTTCTTGAAAGACGTTCGGATAACAATACTAAAAATATTATCAAAGAGATTTAATAAAAGTTAAAATATAGGTATAATGCGTAAAACATTTATATATATATTATGCATATTTTAATAAAAGTTAATATATATATATATATATCATACACGTAATTCAAGATAAAATATAACAATTTAAAGAAATCTTAACACATATATAGATGTATCGTGCACACTATATTAATATAAAAATGAGAATAAATATATGAATTACAAATGGGAAAATCAAACAGTGCAGGTACTAAAACAAACGGACAATAAGTTTTAAAAGGCAAGTGCGTATATTTTTAATAAATTGAATAGATTGTGAAATTAATCTATCAAAATAAATAGGGATAATTTGGTCTAATAAGTAAACAAACATAAAGGTTAAAAATATAATGCAAATAAAATAAAAGGCTCAAAATAATATGAAAGTAACCCAAAGCAGAACTAAAATGCATTTAGAACAAAAGTACAGGGATTACAAACACAAAATGAATTTCCTTTTCATAGTAGCTAGTGACTAAAATGAACCAAAAGAAAATATATGGCATGTGTACGAAAAATAAAAATTAGCGCATAAATGTTAATTTTAAAAATAATTGTTAATAATTAATAGTTAATATTAATGTTTATCAGCAAAATTTATATAAGGAGCAATAGGCAATAAAAATAAATCATGATTACCAATTTAAAATTAAATAGGGAGGTGATAAAAAAAGATCAGATTTCAAAGAGTGCAAATAGAACATTTAAATTAAAGAAACAACAAAAATAAAGACTAAAATGCAAGAACATAACAAGGCTTGGGGGACCTAAGGTGGTTTACCCAAAAATATCCATGAGACATAATAACTCCTCTGCTTTTTTATTTTACACGTGAACTTGGCCTAAAAGCAAAAACCATTCAACTCTTCTCTTCCTCTTTCTACTACACAGCGCCGCAAAACTAAAACCAACTTGGCCACCATGCTCCGATGATGGCCTTCCTCTTCTCAGGTAACCTCTTGACTCCTCTCTATTTATTCTTTTTTTTATATTATTTTCTGTTATTTGAGGGCAACTAGGTTAGATTCAAAAAAAATAAAAATGTATATCTATGTTGGTTGTTTTTTTTAATATATATATATATATATATTACTATACTTGAAGAGAACCGAAAAGAAACTCTACTTAACCTAATCGAACATGCAAGGATTTAAAGTGAACAAATCAAAGGAAAAAATGCATTAAAATGATAAAAAAAAATAGGAAAAAAAATAATTGATACCCCTTTTGAGTCTGTTATTGCTTGAATATAGAGTTTTCAGTGTATTGTTTGCAAGGATTTTCCCCAATCGCTCTATTTCAATCTGTTTTTTTTTGTTATTCTAATCCTCCTCCCCCCAATCTGTTCGAATGCCCTTAATTTATCATTGATCTCTTCACCAAATCTCCATGGTCGCATCTGGATTTTCTTTGCGGTTGGTATGAAAATGACAGGTTTAGGTAGTATAATTAATTTGCTTGACTTTGTTTGATTGAAGTAGGTGATCTGTCACTGTGGATGATTTGTGCAAATTGGCTCTGACGGTGGCGCGGCATATGATGTGTTGAAACCCTAATCTATTTAAAGTTTCAAGTTGGGTCAGATTTGGGTTACTGAGTTTGGATCGGGTCTCCATCTGCTTCATGGGCTGCTTGGATTTATAATATGTTGGGCTTTATTTTGTGGGTCTACACAAAATATAAATAAACTAATTAATAATAATAATTTAATATTTTTGGCCCGGACAAAAACGGGTATCTACAATATATATTTTAATCCCAATCAAAAAATGGGTGTTTACATAAGTGATTAATCATTGTTTTCACTCGAATACATTCATGTTTAATATTGTCATTGGGGGTATTATTGGAGGAAGATTATCTGCAGACTCCTCGGCTTTGTGCTCAGGGTCTAAATGGCATGTGCGATTGGGTGTATGGTTCTGGGGAACCTACACATTTATGATGTGAACGGATGGGGGTAGTGTTCATGTTTAAAAATAAAAACACGTTGCATAAACTGATTTTATTGAAAGACTTTATCTGTATTTTATTTTTTATATATATTGTATGGAGTACATTGAGCTTTTTAGCTCGTTATGTAAATTTTACCCTTTTCAGATAACAACAGACTGTAAGTTAGCAGATTTAGCATCGGGGGAGATCAACTACTTTTATTTTGTGCGAACGTATTTCTCTTTATGTTTTTCAGTTGTATTTGGTGACATGTATTTTGCTATCGTTTTAGATATATCTGTATTATCGATATTTTGTTCCGTGTTACCTCTAATTGTTATAAGTTGCTTTTAAATATAAAAAGAATCTTTGAATAGGATATGTGACCACTTAGGTTTTGGTCTAGCGTACAGACCGAGTTTGGGAGGTTACAAATAAAATTTTAAGAAAAAAATATTCTTTTATTTTTATTCACACTCGTAGCTAGCATTAAAGAATGATATCTTTTGTATATCAATATTTTATTATATTTTTGAAATAATTCAATAAAAAGTTTGGATGATTAAATTTAATAATATAATTATTTTATATTATTAAAAAATATTTTTAATAAAGATTCTTAATATATATTATCTTATAATCATTCTTATTATCATTTTTTAAAAAAATTTGTCATTTAATTTCTAGAAGCTATAATTTATAGCGTGTCAAAAATAATATAATTATTTAAAAATAATAATTAAACATTTAAATTTGGATAATAAGATAATTTATTATATTTTTGTAATTATAATCAAATATTTTTTAATTTTTTAAATTAAATTAAAGTAAATAAAAATAATATGTGTGCTTAAAATTAACTCTTAATCAGTAATCATTTGATGTTCCCATTCTCATATCCTCGATACTCGAATCCGAAATCAAACAAGTTACCGATTATTTTATTTGATTTTTTGAAATCTTTAAATGCAAATTGTCAGAGAATCGCATCGCATTCTGCGAGAGAGAAGCTAACGAACACGTGAAGTTTAGAAATGAGTAAGTTTTCAGCAGGACAAAGCCCTTTCACCACGTTGACTCCCCATCTCTCTCTCTAATTAGGGGTTTTCTTTCCACCAATGCGCTTTGCTTCTTCCATGAAATTCCAGTGACACCCAAATTTTGAAGGTATGCTTTTAGCTTGTTTCTGCAGTCTGGGTCTCTCTTTTTTTCGTCTCAATATGGTCCTTTTCACCGTGTCTTTCTCTTTGTTCATTGTGTCTTCTTTCTGTTTGTTGATATTCCCCAATTAATTCCATTTCTTAAAAAAATGTTTGATTGTTTGTTAGTTAAAGATCTTTTGGGTGTTCTTAAGTCGACCCATGGGTAATTTTCAACTGAAACTCAGCTCGTTGATCCCCTTTAGTATGATGAGATCCGGGATTATATTTTCTTCTTGTAGTACTTATCTTGAACGTGTATTGTTCTTAAGGATCAGATCATTCATCTGGTGGATATTTGATATAAAATGGCTAAAATTATTCAATTGATGCACCTTACAAAGATATTCATTAAAATGACAACTCCATTTCAATCGTGACATATCATGGTGTTCTTTCAAAAAAAAAAAAAGTTAAATATCATGGTGTCACGAAATTGCAAATGCTGGTCCATTGGCTTGTGAAAAATCTTATCTTTACCTCTGATAATGCTTTTATAGGAGAATTCGCTTAGCATAGTATCAGATCTGGTTGTTTTTAATTTACTATTTGCAACGTCTGTTAATGAGTTTCTACTTATAAACTTCTTTTGATCCATTTTTTTAACACTTAGCTATTATTAGTTTGAGATTTTCTCATATTGCATTCCTTGTTGTTATCATCTGGATGCAGTTAAGGATAGAGTCCAAATTTTACTTCATGCTCACATTTAACAGTCTCTCACATCAAAATTTGATGTGCTGCAACAATCTGTTAATCAATATTTTCATGATTGGCTTTTGCAAATACGGGCGTTCACTTAAATTTTGTGTCTAAATTCGGATGCTAGTTCCATCCCTTTTTCCATTTGTGGGTTCAATGTTTTGGATGAGATGTTCTGGGGAAACTCCCTTTTGGTCGTAACAATATTTTTTATCCGATCTCTTGGACTGTTTTCATGTGTTATCCATCCGGAAGAAGTCAAGTTAGTGAATCATATTGATAGAATCATGCAATCACTAGAGGGATTGACTCAAAATTTCACTAATAAGGCAAATTAAGCATGGATTCCTTCTTAACTGATGTCTACTTAACATTTGGCTTTAGCAAGCTAATTTGATGATACCTTTTTCCTGCATTTTTAACATTTGTATGATATTTTTCCATCCAGGCTTTGCGGATGTGTTAAAGGTACGAGACAGTGACGACGAAACTGCTGTCTTGTGATGAAATGCTTGTTAATACAGATCGGAAGTCTAAGCTGCTAGATAGTGAATTTGTTTGAAGACAGTTAACAGAATAAAGATTGCTATATAAGAGTAGATGTGAATCATGAAGTGGATGAAATTCCCAAAGCGATATTTAATTGTAATTTTAACCTTTGTCAGCACATGTGTATGCTACATTGAACGTGTGGGCTTCTCCATAGCATACACGGTTGCGGCTGATGCTGCTGGGATTAACCAATCAAGCAAAGGCACAATACTTTCCACATTCTATTACGGTTATGCTTGTTCTCAGGTGCCTGGAGGATGGTTGGCTCAAAAGATAGGAGGAAGGAGGGTTCTTCTTCTCTCATTCGTATTATGGTCTTCGACTTGTTTTTTGGTTCCACTAGATCCCAATAGAGTTACAGTCTTGGTCGTTGCTCGCTTGCTTGTAGGTGTGGCACAAGGCTTCATCTTCCCTTCTATCCACACTGTCCTAGCACAGTGGGTTCCACCACATGAGAGGTCAAGATCTGTTTCACTTACTACTTCCGGGATGTACCTAGGTGCGGCTATGGGAATGCTTGTCCTTCCGAGCCTGGTGAAGTTCAGAGGTCCCCAATCTGTATTTCTTGCAGAAGCGGCATTAGGTGTCATGTGGTCTTTCCTCTGGTTTAAATATGCAACTGACCCCCCACGATCAGAGCATCAGAAAGCTACCGCTGCTAGTTTTGGAGAATCTGTGTTACCTACCAAAGTAAGTCAGAAGATAAAAGTGGAGAATGGACCGGCGGCTACCGTGAGAACTTCCAAAATCCCGTGGAAGAGGATTTTAGTCAGTGGACCAATTTGGGCAATAGTGGTGAATAATTTCACATTCCACTATGCTCTCTATGTATTAATGAACTGGCTTCCCACATACTTCGAGCTGGGCCTCGAACTCAGTCTTCAGGAAATGGGTTTTGCAAAGATGATGCCCTATTTCAACATGTTCATATTCTCGAATATCGGTGGGGTTGTTGCTGATCACTTGATCACCAAAAGAATAATGTCTGTGACTAAAACTAGGAAGTTCTTGAACACTGTAGGATTTATAGTCTCTTCTCTTGCACTGATAGCACTTCCGATCTTCAGAACATCTGGTGGAGCCGTTTTCTGTTCTTCTGTGGCTCTTGGTTTCTTGGCACTTGGTAGGGCTGGGTTTGCTGTGAATCATATGGATATTGCACCCAAATACGCAGGAATTGTAATGGGCGTCTCTAACACAGCTGGTACTCTAGCAGGGATCATTGGGGTCGATATGACCGGAAAGCTTCTCGAAGCTGCTAAAGCTGAATATTCGGATCTTTCTAGTCCAGAAAGCTGGAGGGCGGTATTTTTCATTCCCGGATTGCTCTGCGTATTTAGTTCTTTCATATTCTTGCTATTCTCAACAGGGGAGAGGATTTTCGACTGAAATAAGCCATGCACACTTCTACTTTTAACTTAGTATTCCCATCTCGTCGATCATTGCGATCGGTGAGATCCCGGGACGAATATATTTAATTTCAGAATACCATAGAAGGTCAAAAGCAATCAACACTAAGCGGTAGCTACTAGCTATTAGAGATTCATTTTTTTGATTGTTAACAATGAGCTTAGCTGGTAGATTCTCACTTTAAACTTGATTATTGTTACGCATATGAGAACTCAAGCCTAGGCCTAGCTGGTCTTTTAAACAATAATTGTAATTGTTTGCTACCACTCTTATCATGAATGGAATGGGAACATCATGCTTCTGATTATTAAGGTTGCATATGGTGTAAGTAAATTCTATGTTAAAAAAATTTCATGCTGATGTTTAGTTGTGGAGATTCCGGTGACGAGAGGCAGCTGCTAGCGGTGTCCGTGGTCGTTTTACAAATTTGCTTATGTTAGGTTCATTAACTTTTCGAGATCAACCGCTGTCCACAGGTTAACAGGTTATGTCCCGTGAATGTCGGATACAGGTATGTTACGTATTGATGCGAGTGTCATATACGAGTATTTTAAGAAAAATGAGAAATAAAATCATGGTAGAGTGTTTTAAATTCTTTTCAACTTTATATGTGATTTAGAATAGTATAACAAATAGCAAATCATAAAGTATTTTTAAGATCCTTTTCAACATAAATCAAACTGCCTACTTTGCCAATAAATTTGAACATCAGTCGTCAAAACTTTCAAAATATCCACCAAATATTTAACCAAACTCAGTTGTTCTTGGCAGCTGAAGCTTGCTTTGCACCAACGGAAAAGAACTCTGTAACGACTTCAAGGGGCATGCCTTTGGTTTCGGGTACTTTTAAGAACACAAACACCCATGATATAACACATACGACTGTGTACATCCCGAAGACACCGGCTAAACCTATCAATTTGAGCAGCACCGGGAGTGAACACGTGACGATGATGTCGCAAATCCAGAACGCAAGGGCACATATAGCGATGCATAGGCCACGAACTCGCGTCGGAAAGATCTCAGCACAGAGTATGTTCGGGATAGGCCCGAATCCCATGACGAAGAAACAGAAGTATAGAACAACACTAAAGGTCGAGATCGCTGCGTGCACAATGTTCCCCATTTCCACGACGCTCCCGATGACTAAGATAACAAGAGATGTTATCAGGACCGGGATTGTGGTGAGCAGCAAGCTCCTGCAACAATGATTTACGAATGAGAACAGATCAAGTAATAACAACACGGAAGGAAAATTTATGAAGCGTCATGCCAATGTTGAATTTCTTCACAACTTCAAATTAAACGAATTTCTGCAATACTGGCATGGCAATGGATAATGACATCACAAAATAGCAGTTGTGAAACCCAAAAAAGGAACAAAACATACCTTCTACCGGCAACATCCATAAGCCGCATAGCAACTGCAATACACGGAAGCATCAATAGGGTCGTAATTCCACTGATAAGCAGAGATGTAGAAGATGAACTGATGCCCAAGTTCGAAAGAAGAACTCCGACTCCTGCCTGCTCAAGAATTTGGGGAGTATAGTATAGCACTCCATTTATACCGGAAAACTGCATTTTGAAAAGGAAGGAATTAAGAACGATCCTCAATAACCTGAGACTGTATTGTTTGAAGAGAGAGGGATGATTATGGTTAGGTTCTCTACATACCTGCTGAAGTAATTGAATTCCGACCCCTACTGCTAAAGCGTGCTTGACTCCCGGTTCAAAGAGATCCTTCCAACTTGGTCCCTTTGCAGCTTCAGCCGGATGAACCATAGCTGGTCCAAGTGGATGTTGCTTCATAAGCTCAGTGGAATAAAGAGCTGGTTCACTCACCAAGGCAACAGCTTGGACGTACTCGCTGTCTTCAGGGGCTTCAGCACCAGGAAGAGAAACTAGTGATCCACGCATCGATCCAGGTGTACCCGATGGGTGTAAATAAATTCTTTTAAATCCGCCTTGCTTTTTCCCATCCGGACCTTCTTTTTCAGACAATTGCCATGCTATCTGCCAACCACCACCAATACCCATGCTACCAACTTGTTCTCCGGTAGTTGATTGCATTAGACTACCATGTCTTAGGCTTGTAAGAGTTCCATGGGCAGCCGGAACTATGTCCTTGTCCAAACTGGTTGTTTGCCGGGAGATTAAAGGACTGTGCAAATTGTCATCGGAATCACCGCCTCCACCATCAGATTGGTAGTCCTCTCCCTCTCTAGGAACAACATCGTCATCCCAGTCTTCGTTTCTAGCTTGATTACCTCCAACGCTGAACATGCTACCAAAGTGCGGAAAAAGTGCACTACGCATACTTCCTGTTTCCGGAACTTTCTCATGGACACTTCCAAAGAGGGTAACAAGAGGATCCACGAGACCAAGAGCACTCTGAGAAGCTAAGCTTCCATGCCGAGACACAGCACCTAGAGTACTCTGTCCAGTGAAAGGTCTGGCTACCCAGGAAAGACCTTGTTCGGGTCCATATAACTTGATTTGATCTTTATCATCAGATATATCTTGGTCCTCGATGTCCTCGTTGGCTGGACCAATTATGTACTCCTCTATCGATGTTTCACCTCCAACACCAAGTCCCTCAACTAGCAATGCCATCTCACCTGTTCATTTCAAATAATATCAATACCGTCCGCAAGATACATCATTACTCATCATATTGCAGCCCCACGGTGAGAAGTAATTGTAATTTAAAACTCTGATAAAACGAAAGAGTCTCTCAAAATTACACCATGCATCAGTTACTAAGAAAAGAGCGACTGCGGATAACTAACCAGCAACATCTTCCCTGCCACGTAGTCTCTGCAAAACTTTTTTCGCCTCGCTCATTCGCCCTTTACTTACCAGCCATCTTGGTGACTCGGGCAAGAAGAAAACAGTTAATGCAAAATATATAAGAGATGGAATAGAAAGAACTCCAAGCATCATTCTCCAATTAGGTAAGTCTGTTAACGACATTCCAAAAACCATGCAATATGATAAAAACATTCCAATAGAACCAGTGAACTGCGGAAGGGTGTTCAACAATCCCCTTATTTCAGGCGGTGCGGTCTCGGATATGTAAACCGGGACCAGAGTTACTGCTAAACCAACCCCAAATCCATCCAAAAGTCTTGCCAATAGCAAGATATAAACATTAGGAGACCATAACATTACAAGACCACTAAGACAATAAAGAACGGACGAGATTATTAGCATCAGGCGGCGGCCTAGCCAGTCCGATATTCCTCCTGAGCATGTAGTAATGCATGTGGCTCCTATAAGAGACATGGCTACAATCAGACCTTCTATAGTCGGATCGCTTTCCAATTTAAACTCTCTCTTTATGTATAGAACAGCGCCTGCAACGCGAAACACAAAGAGCATAACTAATTAATCAATCTAAAGAGATAGAAAAACACCTTTTACATAGAAGTAAAGAAGAACCCCATCAATCCAATTAGTCATCAACTCGAATTTACCATGGATCTTTGACATATAAAAGCTATTATCATAGTCCAAAAGACTGAATTTTCGGTATTGAACTACATAATATATATAAATTTTCGGTATTGAACTACATAATATATATAGTAGTTCGTGAAACCAATGAGGATAACAAACTAATCAATCTAAAGAGACAGGAAAACACAGGAACTACATATGTTAATCATTAAGGAAAGAACCCCTCCCAAATCAATCTAATTCGATCATCGACTCAAAATCACGATAGATCTAATTAGTCCAAAAGACTGAATTTTCGATGTCGAACTACATTCATATATCGATTTCATGAAACCGATGATAGCCAATTAATCAATCTAAAGAGATGGGAAAACACCTTTAAGATTTAAGTAGAGGACTGTGTATATTAATCATGGAGGAAAGGAAAACCAGATCAACAACTCGAATTCACCATAGATCTTCGACATATGAAAGTTATCATTTTAGTCCAAAAGACCGAATTTTCGATGTCGAACTATATAAATATAGCAGCAGTTTATTAAACCAAAGATGATAACCAATTAATCAAATCCAAAGAGATGGAAAAACACCATTTACATCCCAAGTAGGGAAAATAGCAAAAACCCCACCAATTCAATTAGGAACTCAAATTCACCATAGATCTTTGACATAAGAAAGCTGATCATATTAATTTGAACTGTGATCAACTTGAACTAGATGCATATAACAATTCTTGAAAGCACTGAATTCACCTGCAATGGTAGCATTATCCCATCCTTGCAACAAATTACCAATAGCTGCAGCAACAGCTACAAGCACAGCTCCACTCATCCTTTTTTACCCAGAAAAACAAAAAAAAATCCCAAAATCTAATCAATAGTGACACTTAACCAAGTACCCTGAAACATAAACAAAGCAAACCCAGATCATGGATCCAAAAAAATAACTAAACCCAGTGCCAGAAGCAGCATCTGAAGAGCATATCAGATCACAATTTTCAAAACACCATGAAAAAAAAACTATTTTTCTGTTGTTTATGTACTAAAAGAGAGAGAACACTAGAAACCCAGATTTATAAATCGACTATAAAACCAAAAAAAGAATAGCTAAAGTTTACCTAGGGAAGTAAAGCAGGAAACAAGAGCAGAAAACAGGGTGATAAAAAGAGTTTCAAGAATCATCAGATGTAAAAAAAAGCCACAACAGACTGTCATCAGCCTTTGGAATCAAATAAAAAAGTGGTGCTTGGTGATTGGGCTGAGGAGGTTTAGTTTATTTTATTCATTTTGTGATTTTTTTTATTGTAAAAAAAAGGGGCAAGTGATCATCATCATCAACAAGTGAGCAAGAGAGCGAAGGTAAAGAAAAGAGAGAAAGCTAACATGAAAGTTATATAAATATTGTATATATTCATATTTTTCATTAAATTATTCATTATTAATTGATTAATAACTTAATTAGAGTCAATAATTCAATATTTGAACATAAAATTTGATATTAAGAAAGATGAATAATTTATGTAATAAAAAATCAAGAGATTGAATGATTTATTTTGGATTCTATTTATATTTTAGAAAAAAAAGGTAAACTCACATTAGTCGTCAAACTGTTAGTTAGTGTTCTATTTTAATAATTAACGATTATAAATTCTATCAGTTTTATTCTAATTCTAAATAATCCAATAATTTAATTTTTTAATAATTGAAAGATTTATAAAATAATATTCTATAGTCGGATATCATTTACGTTCTTTATCCATGAATTGATTATAATATATTTAATCAATAATAAATTTATATAACAATATAACATTTGGATCATTATGTGAAATTTGTTTTATCAATG